TATTGTAAATGTCATGATTTTTATTTTTATTTTCATTTTTTTAATATGCCTTTCTAAATTTTTGTACGCAAGTAGTGAACATTCCATTCATTTCCTCTCGAATACAATAACATAAATTCTAATGGATTAGATAATCTATATACGGATTTTTATCCAAAATTCGAGCTACATATGCATCAAATTCATTTGACAATCATGATATTTGTGTATTGGTTTACAAATTTGTATGAGGATTCTATTTGTAGGTTCTGTTCACGCTTCTTGAATTCCACTTTAGGTTATTCTAGCTATTAATCAGTCGACTTAGAGCCGCTTGAAGGCCGTTTTGTAACACTGTTTTCGGCTTATCAGGCTTATAAGCCAACTTTTTCACCAAACACGTAACTTTTGTTTTTTCATGCACGTTGCGCAATGGGATAATGCCCAATATAATGTTACTAATGTTATTTAGGAGTGTAGTTGGAAAATGTAGTGAAAAGTATCCCGTTTTTTAGTACTATAGTACAAATCAAGAAAAACTAACCGTAGATGACGTGGAAAGAATGTGATCCAAAAGCAATATATGTTTTTGTTTTTTTCTAGGGGTTGCACTCTACATAAATCAAAGAAAGACACGTCTATATATGTTTTGGGTCATTGAATAGCACCAAGTATATGTCCATACACATATCAAGTTATTGACTAACACCAGGTATAAGACCAATGCGCTGCACTAAAGTTGGGTACATTTCATTTCTAACTTCTGAAATTGGGCAATTCTGTATTACAAATCTAAATCCACAATTGCATAATCGAAACGTTTTTCACCAAAAGAGATGTCCAAATGCATACATTTCTCAAATTGAAAGCCTCACCCACCTCCAAGGCTGCAAAATGGGATACAAAAATTGTAAACCATAAGAAGATGAAACAAATATAATCCAAACCATGGAGGAGCAATGCTACACTTCTAAAAAATAATTAACTAAAAATCATATATTCAGGTTCATTAAAATTCTACGGCTCCCACAAAGCAAGAGGAATGAAATCTTGTTGTTAATATATAGATCGGGTTCACTCTTTAAAGTTTGTATGTAAGATTACTGTCACATGAGAGTATGTAGAGTAAAATGAACCAGGTTACTATGTCCGATCCTCTCGGATCCAGTCGAGGTAGCTCAACTTATATTATTCAAACATGTTTAACCAAGTAGACCCGGTCTAGCTTCTTTTGTCACATTATTACTTTCTATTGATTAATATAAGAGACATCAAGAGGAAGCTACTTTCTAGCTAAGGTTAACAAAGCTATAAGTTTTAGTGACAGGTTTAATCAAGTATCTTTTTCTTTTTATGAGGTTTATTTGTCAACTTGGGGTACATTTCATCTAGGCATAACAAATTATCGGTTTTAGTGACAGTTATGCACGGATGCCAAAAATAGAAGAGATTTAATATTCAACATGTACCTTTTCACATGACATACCATACAATACATAGATAAACACTTCCATATCATTTAAAGCAAGCTTATATGATGGATAGACATACATAACCTCATACGTAGTATGACATAAACAACATAGGGAAGTTTCTCCCCATCGAACGCCAAACACATATAATCACCTGCAAACTCCTCTGTCACCTTAAATGGAAGTTATCCATGCAATGCTCTGCCGTAGATACACTGAACCACATTTGAAGCAATGGTCTGCAACATTAGGGCAGTAGCATGGCTAGGAGCCTAGAACTGATCAATATGCGAAATGTGGTGTTTCTGCCCAATTACACCAACCGCAACTTTATAACTGTTCACCATCCTATAACACATATTATTAGAGATTACAAAAGGAATATAAGGATATCTAAAATATTATAAACATCAATAAAAGTTAGGCTATTTTTGGTATATAAAATGTGTTGGTGTAACCCAAGGTAACATGCTCTTGTACATTATGCTCCCATGATTGTACATTGTTTTTTACTCTTGTCTTCGCTCATGACTTCCGTTAAAATCCAGTTCATTTGCCGTCTATTCCTTCAGTGTATTTAGTCATCTTTTTCCTAAAAGCTTAAAAGTTATGAAGTACGTAAAAATGAATAATTGGATGAGAGTGGGGTAGGCCGAGCTCACTTTTCAACTCAGATGGAATATACTATGTAGTTAGCAATTCAACTCAGCTAGAAGGAAGGCAGGAAGCTACTGTTGTCTCATACGGAGTACTGGAGTAGTATAATGATACTCCCTCCGTCCCGCTAAGATTGTCCCTTTTTACCTTTTCGGGAAGTCTCACTAAGATTGTCCCGTACCAAATTTGGTAAAGCTTGTGTGGCTCTAAATCATTCTTACTTTATTCTTATTTTATCAATTTAATATCAACCACACAAAACCACTTTTCTTAATAATCGTGTCACTTTCTCTCGTCCCAATCTTAGTGGACAGAGGTAGTACTACGTACGGAGTATAATTTTAAAAGATACTCTATACGGAGTATAAGATAAGAAATTTGATATTAGATCTCTCACTAACATTGAGACAAGAAAATCACATGGTGATTAAGAAAAATTTATTTATGTGATTGACATTGAATTGCTAAAGTAAGAATAAAATAAGAATGATTTAGAAATACACAAATTTTTCCAAATTTAATACTCCCTCCGTATTTAAAAGTTCTATACACTTTCCTTTTTGGGATGTATTTAAAAGTTCTCTACACTTTCTCTTTTTGGTAAGTTTTTCTTTAAAAATACTCAATTACCCTTACTTTTTCTACTTTTTTTATCCTCTCTTTTCTACTATTTCACCTTCTCTCCTACTTTTTCTATATTCATTACACTTATTATTCTCCCTTAAATCTTGTGCTAAAACCAAACATAACCATCTTTTAAATACGGAGGGAGTATGAGACAATCTTATTGGGATGAAATAAAAAGAAAGATGAGACAATCTTACGAAACGGATGGAGTAATAGTATAGTGACTTCACGTTGTTCAAATCATCTTAGAGTTTTAAATTTATTTTTTCTAATATAATAGTTTCATTTAATTTTGTTTGTTTTGGAATTTTCAATTCATTTTTTGTGGTGCCCTTCATTGTCGTTTGAGCTATTTCATTCTAAAATCCCAATTGAAAGAGTTGTAGTCTACGTCTGAGTTGCAGGAGCTTTGTTTCAAACGCCAAATAGAAACGATTTCTTTTTTCTTAAAAAAACGACTTCTTTTACTACTCCATATTACTCCCTCCGTTCTCCATTAGTTGTCTCTATGGGGTTTGGCACAAGTATTAAGAGGAAAATAATAGGGGTATAGTGTAAAAGGTGTAATGGGTTGTGTTTAAAAGAAAAAGTAGGAAAGATGATGGAAAAGTAGAAAAAAGAATGAGGGTAAATGAGTATATTAATTGAAAAAACTTTCTAAAAATGGAAAGGGAGACAACCATTAGAGAATAACCCAAAATGGAATGAGGGACAAGTTAGAGAACGTAGAGAGTATTTTTTTAGTTTTATTATTATTAGTATTAATATTATTACTTGTAACTTTCATGAATGGTGTGTGCAGTTTTTTGCTATATTATGCATATGTATTTTCTCATCATATAATTAATATTTCAAATAATAATACGTAGGGTATGTTTGACACAAATAACTGAAAAGATACTTTTATAAGCTTTTTAATAATTGTTAGCCTTTAATGACTGAAAAGATCTTAAAAGAAAACGGCAGTAGCTGTTTGATAAAAGTTGACTGTTTAATTTAGTTCTGGTTAGTATACAAGCTGTTAGGACTAAGTAATGCTGAAATGTACGGACTTTTTTTTAGATGTTATTCATTGTAGCATTTCAGTAAAGATCTTTTATTTTTAGAAAACTCTTAAAATTTGGCATGCCAAAGATACAACTAGAAACTTTTCAAGACTTTTTAAACATGCTCGTGATGGTAATTGACATTCCCCCCACTCAATTTTTAGTGTAATTGTTTATTCTTCTATTATTGTAAATGTCATGATTTTTATTTTTATTTTCATTTTTTTAATATGCCATTCTAAATTTTTGTACGCAAGTAGTGAACATTCCATTCATTTCCTCTCGAATACAATAACATAAATTCTAATGGATTAGATAATCTATATACGGATTTTTATCCAAAATTCGAGCTACATATGCATCAAATTCATTTGACAATCATGATATTTGTGTATTGGTTTACAAATTTGTATGAGGATTCTATTTGTAGGTTCTGTTCACGCTTCTTGAATTCCACTTTAGGTTATTCTAGCTATTAATCAGTCGACTTAGAGCCGCTTGAAGGCCGTTTTGTAACACTGTTTTCGGCTTATCAGGCTTATAAGCCAACTTTTTCACCAAACACGTAACTTTTGTTTTCGCGCGCGCAGTGAATTGTGTAATAATAAGAAAAGGTAAGGTTGGAGTTACTTTTCTCGCTGTATTGGCTGAAGTTACTGTAGAAGACAATTTTAGCTATTCTTACATACCAAGTGTATTTTTTTCTTTATTTTATTAATAAATATATTTTAGAAATAATTTTTTTACATTAGCAGAATCAGCCAATGCAGACACTTCATAAATTTCAGCAGAATCAGCCGATTTTCGTGTTACCAAACAGGCTCTTAGTTAGTCATTGATCAATAATAAAGATTTTAGGACAATCCTAGAGTGTGTAAAAGGATTAAAACAACCCGAGTAATGCATCATGTTACATTGTTTTTATCATTACCCTTGATCTCCATGTTTCTCAATAAAAAAACATTGGGCATTTTATTCAATCGCGCAACGCGCGTGTTGAAAACTAGTATTATAAATAATACCCATTCCGTTATCCTCAACTAAATACGGAGTATGCGTGAAAACAAATTAACTTGGAACAATTTTCTCCAACTAAATGGGTAGATTTTGTTTCACTCGAATTTAGTTACGCCACACTCGCAAGGACGAAGGATTCCGCCTGCTATTTTCATTATCTGTGAAAATCTATATATATATATTAATCCACTTAAGTCTCTTTCCCGCTCCTAATTATGGACATTTGCGTAAATACATTTTATTCTTCGTAATTAGACTCGCTTATTCTTACTGCTCTCGAACTCAACTCGCAGGATCCTTCAACACCAGACTTCTCATTGAAGTTGGAGTCTCGATTACAGATCTGTTCATCTGTTATCGGATTTTTCCAGCCTAATTCGAGGGCCTTTGCGCAGCTCCAAAGCATTGCCTACTCTCCCTCAAACTCTCAGACTTTCTTCTATTATTTCTGGTGCATTTGGATTTCTTCTCCTCATCGATCACCGTATTCGGAATTCCGGATTTCCCTTCCGATCACCAACCTCCTAGCAATTCCACTTAGTAACCTGGCCTGTCCTTTTCTGTTTTGCTCTTCTTCCTACCCTTACAAACTTTATTGATTAACCAGATCGGTAAATATGCTCATATATAAGATAAAAATCGTTATTGATATACAGGTACACAACTCAGTATTCTGCTTATAATTGAACAACTATACTCATATCTAAGAGTCTAAGACCCAAGGGTAGATTTCAGATTAGGTAATTTTTCCCTGAAGCTAGCAAGGGGTTAGTATGTTGAAAGAGCATTTTGATGGAGTTATTAAGTATAATTTAAGATATGATCTTCTACAGGTATGCATGAGCTAATGCAATTTCAAGTCTCCAACAATGTATTCAGCACAAGTAATTTAAACCTTGGCCGGACATCCAAACAGGTATGCATATATTTGTTAGAATCTAATAACACATCCAAATTTTATTGAAACAAGTAAGCAGCGGTCTGGCAATTTAGTTATGTGCTTTCATACTTGAAGAAAATCATAAGCAAGTTATAGTTATATTAAATCATAGCCCAAGAAGATAGCAATGCAAAAAAAAAGTAACAGTTTAAAGGTTAAATAAAAAGGGTGCAAAATGCAGCCAAAACTTAGAGCTTAAGTGACACAGTCATTAAATCATAGCCCAAGAAGATAACAATAAAAAGAAAAAATAACTAACTAAAAGCTTACAGGTTGAGTAAAACGGGTGCAAAATGCATTCTGAACTTAGAGATTTTTTTATGAGTATGCTACTTATGTTACATATGCCCAGACAGTATGCAGTCTAAACTTAGATCATTTTTTAAAGACTATCAAATCTAAAAATAGGCTGTTTAACTATTATGTAGACCTCATCTATTTTAGTTAGTGTTTTCTTTAGTAGTTAACTTTTTGAATTAGATTCACTAATTGTATGCCTTCTCAATTGTATGCATTAGAAGTCTAACATTCCTAAGAGGAAAAGGTGTAAATTTTCACCATTCACTCTAATTGATTTTTGTTAAAGTTAACATCTTTAGTTCCACTTACATCACTTTATTGCATCAATCTCATCGGTTTTAACTATTCACTCTCATTGGTTTTAACCATTCACTCTAATTGATTTTCACCATTCACTCTAATTGATTTTCACCATCACTTTAGTAGATCAATATATGTAATGCACGTATATATGGGTTTAATGAACATGTATGCAATAAATGCTATCTGTAATGAATATATCTATATTGCTCTATTTAACATATATTCTTGACAGACTAGGTTTTAATGAACATATTTACATATCTATAATGGATGCTATCTGTAATGAATAGATATGGCTTTAATGAACATATATTCTTCACCTAGCTGAAAGGCCTGAAAAATATGAAAATGGGGCCTCTATGTCTTTGTCAGCTTCATCTTTGAGAGAAAATTAATTGTATCTCAACATAGGAGATTATTAACATAGCAATTTCAATATTCTTAGTCATTTTCATTATGTGTTCATTAACATAACAGATTCTTAATCCCTTGCTACAGTTGAACATAGCAGATTGATTGGAGTCATTTCAATCAATACACATTTTAGTCATTTTAATATGACTTATTTTAGTTGATCTTTATCCAAAAGGGCCATCAAACTCTTAAGTTAACATCTTTATTTCTATTTGAGAGATGCCGACTTCAGTTGATATACTCACCATCTCAACAACGTTCTATCTTTCAATTTCCCAGGCATCTAATTCCGCCTAATGTACTCTTCATCTCAACAAATCTCACAATTGTTGGTTAGTATTCTATCTCAAATCTATATTTTCATATTTAGTTCAATTCACATTTCCCTTGACCTGTAAATTGGCATATTTTAGAATGTAAAAAGTGAAATTATTTTCAGATTTGAGCTCATTTTCATAATCAGTTTGACTTTATAGGGTGAATCTAAAATTTTAGTCAAACGTTTTGAAAAGTCATAACTTTTTGCTAAATATTAATTGTGTACAAATAGATGTCTATGTGGACTCATCCGCCCGGTAATCATCCAAAAAAGGAGATGGCTATTTCCTCCTTCAGATTCATTCTTCTTCTTCTTCTTCGTCTTCTTCTTCTTCTTAAAGTATTCTTCTAAATTGTATAATCCATCTTTTATTTGAAACCAGGTTAGTATATATGCTCATGTATAAGATAAAAATCGTTATTCATGTATACCAGTATACAACTGAGTAACTGAGTATTCTTACTCTGCTTATAGTTGAACAACTATACAATTTGTACATACTTACATTCTATACTCATGTCTAAGATTCTAGGACCCAGGAAAAATTGATTCATGCCAACGACTTTGGGACTTTTTAGCATGTGGTATATAAGATAGGCAATGTTTTTGTGTATTTTTAGTTTAAGAGTTTAGGTCTACTCTGAGTGGAGAACATTAATTATACCAATGAGAGGTAGGGCTGGGAAAAAACTCCCGACTCCTGACTCCCGATCCCGACCCCACCCCTCATTGAGAGGTATGACTTTCTACATTTCTTCTTTTTTTAAAAACATTTAAAAAATTGTAGTTTCCCTTTTCAATTATTTCCGTCTCTTCATAAGCTAAAGTCTTATAGAAAAGTGGTGACAAGAAGAAAAAAAGTGCACTTTTTTGTTTGATTTGTTGTCTTTATTGGCGGTTTCGAAAAACAAAAATGATAATATCAAAAGAGAATATTGCAGCTTCTCTTTTCAATTATTTTCGTCTCTAATCTAAAGTCTTATAGAAAAGTGGTGACAAGGAGAAAAAAAGTGCACTTTTCTGTTTAATTTGTTGTCTTTATGGGCGGTTTTGAAACACATAAATGATAATATCAAAAAAGAATAGTGCACTTCTTTTTGCTCTCTTCTATAAAAAAAAAGTCTTTTTTCCCTTTATGTAATAAAAATGCACTTCTCTAATATTTGAAATTAGAGTTTTTTACTTTATTAATTACTTCTGCTCTAGGGCATAAGATGAACCTCTTCTTTAGTCCTTCTTTGACTAGGATCTTAAAACATAGTAATGGCAAGAAGAAGAAAATATGGTTTCCCCCCTTTATTTCAACACTTCATGGGCAAAAATTTCATTATAATAATGACAATAAGAGAAAAAAAAATGCATTTTATGTTGAAATCATTCGTTGTTTTACTGGACAAGTTTTTTTAACACAAACGGAAAGATAGTAATGGCAGCATATCGGATTTAAGATTTGTTTTGCAATGCCTTTACAACACCTTTTTTTGCATATTGATCCATGATATTTAGTGGCTCTACTTGGATGTATTACTTTCATTGTCAATTTACAGGTTTTAATGAAAGTTAGCTTTATTTTGATATTCCAACTACTAAGAGAGCAATGTTTATTACATATATATCACTTATTCACTTCATTTTATAATACATATATATTTTCCTTTAATTAATGTATGTAACATGCTGGGGAATCTCACTGTTAGGACAAAGTTTGAACTTATTTCTATTGCAAGCATTTTGAATGTGGGCGAGAAAGTGATTTGAGTTATTGAGACTTATTTGGGGATGGTTCTAGAGGTTCTTCTGTTATGAATAAAGACATTATTTGCAAGAGTTTAGTAATTTCAAATCATTTTATAATCAATCTATTATCCCGTGCAACGCACGGGTAAAAGACTAGTACTTACAAAACAATTACTTACGAAATAAAGTGACTAGAAAAGCGTAGCTAAAATCTCCTTGCCCTTTGGAGCTCTATGTACCCATGATTTTAGTAACGGATAATTGAAGTCGCCGTAACTTTTTGTGGGCTCTCCAAAATACCAAAATTTGTTAGTATTGTTACAAAATCTGCAACTATTATCTTCAAAAAAAATTGACAAGTATTTACAACTATTTTCACTTTTTTAGTAGTGATTCAAAATAGAAATGAATTGATCCTAAAGTATAAAACTTCTCTTATTAAAAGCGAATGAGTCATATTACAAAAATAATGATGATTTTATTTCTACATATTGTCTATGTTTTAGTTAATTCTATTTTAAAAAATCCTTTGACATAAGTCTTCTTTATTAGACCAGAGTATGTGTAGGAAGTTGCTAGCACGCAGGTTATTTTTTATACTATAGAGTATGTAAAAGTATATTTATATATTAGTATTTGAAGTTTCATCTCAAGTTTTATAAATCCCCGTGTTAAAGATCAGATGAACAAGTCATCTAGACTATGATTATATAATACTCCGTATCAATATTTAGATTCTAATATAAATTGACTGAACTTAATAAATTCTAGCTCTTTTTTAGCTGAAGTGGCGTGCCGAACACAGCCGTTATATCCTAAAATTAAAAGGTTTAGTAATTTGATAGAAGGTATATTACATAATCTTATAGTACGTACTCCCCCGTCCCCCAATTAAGTTCCCTCTTTCCTTTTTGGATAGTCCCTGGATTAAGTTCTCCTTTCCTTATTTGGCAAATCAACTACATCAAAACAGTACAAAACAGTGCCAAACAATGCTAAAACTATAAAGTTTACCCCCAATAACTTTTTTCCTTAATAAGTGTGAAAAACAATGAGGAACTTAATTGGGGGACAGAGGGAGTATAATACTATTCCTTCTCACAATTAAAGTCCCCCTTTGATTTTATGGTCTCAAAGGCGAATGTTTGAGCGTAATCATATATAAATATATACCTATATAATCTATAATAAATAACCAAACATTTCAGCCCAGTTGGTTGTGAGGTTACCGTGCCTAGTGGGAGGTCTCGAGTTCGAAAGTCGTTAGGCACATAAGGGTTTGAAACTCAATGGGTTGAGTTTCAGCCCTGATTACTCCAGGCTCCCCCAGCCCCAGACCCCCTGGAGTAAAAAATAAAATCTATAATAAATTGACATTTGAATAATACACATTACAATGAAGCACATAAAATTAATTTTGTGTGATAAAATATTGTTAATCTAGAATAATTAACTGTCAAAGTTCAACAAGTTTGATTCAAAAGTCAAAGTGGGATTTTAATTGAGTAAAGAGTCAGTTTGGTCCCCGAAGTTGCATAAAAGGGATCAAATAAGTCCTTATATAGAAGATTCTGTCTGGACGTTATATAATTGCGCTTTTAACTGCACAGTTAGTGTTGGGAGTGTTTCGGAAAATAAAGAAAATTAATTAAATTAAATTAATTAAATAAAATGACAAAAGAAAACAGAAATGAGATGGAGCTGAAATTTGTCAAAGCTCGTGCTACGCACGATGTCCTTAAAACGTATTTGTTGCCTCCCACGGTGCTAGGAGCGTTGCAACAATAGTTTCCCAGGATACGATGACAACGAACTAATGTTTGAGCACACAAACAAGAGTTCCAACGAACGAGAACAAAGTATGAACACTCAGAAATTTTCAGAAGGACTGGAGGTGTTTTTAGCTCTAAAATACGTGAAGGATGTGTATAAACTCGTGTAAGAACCTGTGTTGTTGCAAATCACCTGCCAGCCATTATATAGGAGGATTTGTTGTGTGAAAATAGTGAATTAATGGACCTGAACGTTGGACATCAATGACCAGTCCGTTGGGCATTGAATCGTCCATGAACTGTCCATTTAACGCTGCATTAAAAGATATAAACGTTGGGCATAAATTGTTGTAACGTATCAGAAGCGCGACAGAAGACCTCCATCAGAACACCCCGGGAGGGGTTCTGATCGGAGGCCAATCAGAAGACCCCAACTCTGATCCGCGACCCATCAGAGTACCCCCAACTCTGATGGGCGGCCATCAGAATACCCCATCTCTGATGGGCGGCCATCAGAATACCCCATGAGGGGTTCTGCCATCAGAATACCAACGAGAGGGGTTCTGATCCGAGCACTTCTGCCGCTGGGAAAAAATTAAACGTTTCGGGAAGAAAACAAAAATTAATCGTATCTCTTGAGAGATAGATTTTTGGACGACATTCGTGTCCGCAGGTCGCCCGCGCACGCAAGTCGCGGTTTTTTCTTCTCCGATTTCGGGATTTGATTTGCACCCCCCCCCCCCTGCGCGCGTGGAGAGAGCCTCTACCCTAAGGAATCTTAACTCCTTAAGGGGGGAGTCCCTTTATAAAGGGTTGCAAATCCCTTGGGTTTTCCGGTGTGGGAAATTAACACTAGAAACCCATCCTTTTTCCCAGTTTTTCCATTCTAACGGGTAAACTTCGAAAAACAATTTCTCATTCACCCGTTATCCGTTTTGAGCGTACCATATATCGAATTGTAGCCCTTAACAAGGACAATCCGAAACCACTTTGACCCGACCCAAATCGGAAGTGGACCCCACTCAAAAAATTGCCCCAAAATAGCCATTTAATGCAATTTTTCACACATTTTTCCAACAATCCCCCACATGAATGAAAATTGATTTTCGAGACTTAAAAAGACACGAAGATAGGAGGACACGTTGTGTTCACCGGATGATCCTTGTATACGGAGAGGTAGGTTTAATCCTTTGAACCTTCCGCCGTAAAGACACGTTTATTTACTGGCTGTCTAGTAGACTCGATGTCTTTGAACTATACCACCGTCGTGTAAACATTGACTTATCTTTACACAAGAACCTTCCAACTTTGTTCCGTTCTCATGGGTGTGCCCGTTTTGGCCATGGGTCACCGTCCTGGTTCTGCAAGAGTTTCTAAAGAACTGAGCCTTTACAGTTCTCCTTTGAAGCGGCCCTCTTCTCTCTCACATAGGTGATTCTTTCACGAGTATCCCGCATACTCTTCCAATGTTATCGAGTAGATCAACATTTTAGAATCATTAAAG